AACTGTAGGCCTAAATTTAAAATTCCCATGTTATTCTTATGGGGAATAAATAAACCTTTGTAGTTTGCTAGTTTATGAACATATTTTGATCAAATTTGGAAAATACATTCATTTCTTACTAAACTATTAAGATTTTTACGACAAAAAACACTTTTTTACCCTCCCTGTTGCAGCAAACCTAAGTACTTGTTAAACTAATGCTATTTAAATAGGGAATAAATGTGATATTTTTAAGGAGACATTTTAGTGTGAATCCAATCAGGCAAATGGAAATTCGCTTATTCTGCGGGTTTGCTGCGGCGGGGGTATTTTTTTTTTCATTTCCTGAAAATTTTGAAAATAAGGATAATAATGTGAGTTTTGTAATGGACCGCCTCTTTTGTACTGGTGGCAATTAAGATATTGTGAGTATTTTGCTCGGCGATTTTTGTAGAAGGCAGCCTGGGAGTGGCGAGCAACAAGTCTGTCTTATTTTGTGACTCTACCTAACTTATCATTTTGAAACAAGATACTTTTTGCCAAAGTATTATTAATGCACTTAAAGCTGTTTGAATTCTTAAGCACTGAAAAAATTAACGCCACCTAATATATTGTACAGTTACATTACTGTGTTGGAGTAGAGTAATTCACCGAGTATATTGTTGTACATTTTGAAGACGTTGTCTATTGCAATACTGAGCATATGTTGGCTGACAATACAGATTCTGAATTGTAAATTGAAAAACTTGTAATTCGTCCATTAGTTAGATATAATGATGTATTGTTAAATGACGTTTCCTATTAAACATTTAATTTTGATTATCAGCAAGTTAGTGTTTCTTTACCTCAAGTTTACTTAATACTTGAAATGCTCGTTTTATGAGGTAAAGTGAAAATTGTCAGATAAATTGGTGGGGGAGGGTAGGTTTAAATAGACGGCAGCATAAATTGGGGGAACTACTCAGTTTGCCTTGGGGGGGATGGGCACCTCTGATTTATTGAAAATATCAACGTATTTTCCTTATCCTACTCAATGACAATGATCGTGACATTATTTACGTTTCCCGACCAATATTACGGCCGGGAGGGCGCAACTGTTTTGTATGCCTAGGGGCACCGTTTGGCTAAATGCAGCCCTGGGTAAGTTATGGGCAATTATTTAATATGTCTACAAAGGAATATCGTGTATATTTTGGATGTCTACTTACAGTTTTTTTAATGCTGAATCCAAAAATGCAATCAGTTTTTGTCGGAGAGATTCCTAAGTGGCTGTAAAACGAAGGTTAAAATTACGAATCTAAGGTTCATTGAGCGGTACTGATGGTAATATGGCGTGGTCTGGACGGGTCCGAATGTGGACTGAGGACTGAGTGAAGAGAGCAAACAGCTGTTTGTACTCGACTTAATGCGGAATGAAATCAATTTGTTTTGAAACCAAATAATCAGTTTTTATTTAGGCATGTGAGGAAGGGAGGTCGGGTTTTATGCGGATCTGTGACTGTATTAAGTGTTTTGATGTGAGGTTAGATTAGGAAGGTAAAGGTTAGGTTATAATGAACTCATTAATTTTATGCTACTTCCTTAATTTTATGTTCCAGACTGTTTTTGCACAATTATGTAAATGGTATCATTTATTAGTTGCTGATACATGAAATTATGCACCGTGGCACGTTTTCACTTTTAGGCACAATGGGATTATGTACTATCGGATTATGCACTGTGGCACGTTCATTAACAGACGTTGAGGGTTGGAATGAGGACAATCATGTCGCCAGTGGCCTAGCTTCTATTAAGTTACTGTTTTTTTAACGAGAATAAATTATATTTTTTTATACTTTATGTTGATGTGATTAATCGTTTATGTATCGTAGTTGATTGTATATTCTAAACGCCATCAAAGTCCATTTGCTTTTATAAATCAAATTAGGCCCATTGCATATTGTAATTCTGATTTTGCTCTCACGTCATCGTGTATGGTTTTATCTGTTTAGTATCGAATGTAAACAACTAACAGCTGTTTCCACTCCACAAACCTTCCTCCCCTTTCAGTGTTAGTCGCCACCAGAACTTGGACTCGTCCAAACCACAAATATGTGAATTACTCAACAAAACTGAAGCTTGATATTAATTATTTAACTGTATTGCCACTTATTACCTTATTATTACCTTATTACCATCTTCTTGGCCGTTGACCCATCGTATAATGGGAATAGGCTGTGTCTGCGTAAAAAACTACTTATTTATTTCCGCACATATGTATAAGACTCACAAGTTTAAAATATGTAAAAAAACATAATTTTAGTACTCATGGCGGTCGCTATGTTCTACTTCAGCTCATCCAAACTACCTTCCAGGAATTCCTTTGTTGAGAAGTAGGGATTTTTACGGAAAAAATTTCCAGTGGTGGTTTTAAACTTTCTGCTGGCGAGGGTCTTAGTGGCAGCTGGGAGTTTGTTGAAGAAACGGATGGCGCTTCCAGGGAATGAGTCCCTATTTCTACTGAGGCGAGTGCGAGGAACATCGAGTTGATTTCGGCCTCTTGTATTGTAGTTGTGAATGTCAGCCCTAGCCACCAGGCCCAGTTCATTGTTCTTGATTTCCTGCATGCATGCCCATATGTAGTGGCTATAGATGGTCAAGATGCCCAGGTTTTTAAAGATGGGTTTGCTATGCTCATGGCGATGGCTGCTTGTTATAATGCGCACAGCTTTCTTCTGGAGCTTCAAAACTCTGGCTGCCCCAGCAGCGTGTCCCCAGAGATGTATGCCATAAGAGATGTGACAATGAAACATAGCATAGTACACCATAACCAGGTAGGAATCTGTAACACACTTCTTCAATCTCCTCAGTAGAAATATGACACGAGCCAGCTTAGTGCATACATGTTTGACGTGATCGCTCCAGTCCAGTGTTGAGTCAAGGTAGAAACCCAATAGTTTAACACTCCCACCGATGTTGTTTGGGGTGCGTGACAGAGTGCAGGTCAACCAGTTTGTCTTGGTCTCATTTAGTTGCAGTTTGTTTGCCCTGAACCACAGCTCCACATCTTTCAGATAATTTTTCGCTAGTTCCTCTGCAAGGAGCGGTGTTTTTCCTCTGGTATACAAGGTAGTATCGTCAGCAAACAGCACAAGATTTCCATGCCACCCCAAGTCGTTAATAGCAATCAGGAAGAGAAGTGGCCCGAGAACTGAGCCCTGAGGGACTCCGTGCAGAACCTCCCTTTCTGCGGATTTTGCACCCTTTAAGTCAACCACTTGTCTTCTGTCACTTAAGTAGCTACTAAGCATGGAGAGAGCTTTACCTCTGACACCAAAAGCGAAAAGCTTATTAACAAGGATTCCATGGGGAACACAGTCGAACGCTCGACTCAGATCACACAGTGTAAGAGATACTGAGTCGCTGTCTTCAAAAGCGTTTGCGATTTCATCAGCAATGACTGAAACTGCTTCAGTAGTAGACCTGCCCCTCCGAAAACCGTGCTGCGAGTCACTAAAAAGGTTGTTTGACTCAAAGTAATTGCAGGTTTGTTCCTTTATTACTATCTCGAGAACCTTGCCGAGGACAGGTACCAAAGAGATAGGCCTATAGCTAGCCAGAATGTTGGGGTCTCCCTTTTTGTATATAGGCACTGTCCGTGCGATCTTCATGAGTGCCGGAAAAAAACCCTGCTGCAGGCTGTCATTGATAGCTAGGGTGAGGGGTGCAATGATGACATCCGCTACTTCCTTAAGGAGCCTGGTAGACCACCCATAGTAATCGCGGCTCACGGTGCTCTTAAGCCCATTTATAATCTTCCGGACCTTTTCCTCATTTACTTTAGTCCAAACGGTCTTACTAAGGTCGGGCTGAAACTCCGGCATCCGATCTTTCAAAATGTCCAAAGGGTCAGAGGGAGCATCAGGGATACTGGTAACTATGTCCGAGACTGATGAAATAAAGAAGTTGTTAAATTCATCGGGACTTGCAGCACAGCGCATTCCTTCAGTTACCATTTATGGAATACCACTTGGGACCATGTGATACCACTTGGGAATCTCTCAGACTAAAACTTATTGCATTTTTTTATTCAGCTTGGAAAATACTGTAAGTTATGTAGAAATCTAAAAATTACATGATATCCCATTGTAGACATACTAAATAATTACCAACCAAGCTAAGTTAATTTGCCTAATGGCATCTACAGGTTAGGTTAGGTAAAGTTAGATTAGGTTAAGTAAGGTTAGGTTAGGTTAACCTAATAATCAAGGGTATAAAGAATATATATTCACCAAATAACCTCTAAATCGCTCCCACAGACAGCAGCACCTACGGATCCTCCTGATGCCGTTGTTCCTGTGACTAACGAACTTTTACGACCGCGCTTTTTCAGACGTATCTCCGTTAATATAAATCGGATCTTGTAATTTTTTGCATATTCTTGTTCAGCTCGCTTTACCGGTTAATTTGAGTATACACATGAGGAAAACGGTGCTTTTCCGACGAAATGACAATCATTTTTGAATTCAGGACGTAATTTAGCATAAGAATAGTGAAACAAAATTTTTTTAGCAACACGTCCGTGATCGATATAATTACCCATTTTTTCTTAACTGTACATCTGTTGTTAGAATTTTAGGCGTTTATAATTTTATTTGGCTGCACTTTACTTGACGTCCTACACTCATTCGAATGAAAATATCGATAGATATATCGATTAATCGATTGCTTCATTCGATATATCGTTTGGTTAGTTAGGTAAGGTTAACCTAACCTAACTAACCGAACGATATATCGAATGAAACAATCGAACGAAAATATCGAATCGAAAAAACAATCGAATGAGTGTAGGACGTCAAGTAAAGTGCAGCCTTTTATTTTATAAACAGAATTTAACCTTCATTCAATTTTTTCATTATCAGCAAGTTTGGTTGGTAAGGTTAGGTTAAATGACTAACTTAGGTTAAGCCTAATCTACATCCGGTTACATGACTCGTATCCTCTGCGAAATTCTAAGGTAGGCCTATGAAATTTGAACTCACCTGGTCTCGGCACTCTTCTTGTAGGCAACAGTTGGCTAGTATGCTCAGTGACACATTCAATATTTTTTCATTGGGCTTGTTAAGTAGCCTTACAATGTGTTTTAACCCCCCTCTTTCTCTTAACAGCTTGACACCCTCAGCATCTTTAATTACATCAGTTCTGATCTGAACAAGATGCTTGTAAACTGATTGTGATGAACATTTTTCAAGTTGGCTGATCAATTTTACAATTCCCACTGATTGTCCAGTTTTAGACATTTTTTAATCTTGCGGTTAAAGTAATGTAGGCAGCTTTACAATTCAATTTAGGTAAAGAAAACCAGGCATATTCTAGACCTAGTTTAGGTCTGTGTCTTAGTGTGTGTGTGTGCGTGTGAGTCAAAAGTTTAGTTAAGTATGTTATTGACAGTCTACTCTAAAAAAGATAACTCTAGGAATAGAATTTTTCATCTAGGCTAATGTGTCTAATCGTTTCACGTTGTAAGGGTTAATTGGTTGCACTTTAGTTTGCGTCCTACATTTACTATTATACATTATAATAAATACAACGAAAATTATAAGTAAATTCTGTATTCTTCAGCAAAACAAAACATTAGTTGTTTTGTTATCACTGTTGTTACTGTCATACTGTCTGTCAGTTCAGTGTACCAGACTGAAGTTGGCTGTCGAGCATCTGACGAATGCTAGGCCTAGGCCATAAAAGTGCCAGGACGAAACAATAGGAACACTCGCATCAACTTACAACAGACCAGCGCTTGGTCCTCCTATCTCGTTGCGAGTAAACATTGTACGCAATGTATCATCGGTTCTTTCATTAGTTCTTTGCTGTTATACATTAATAAAGTTAAGTATTTTTAAGTATTTAAGTAATTTTTATTGTATATAACAGGTTGCGGTCAATGACAGTCTACATGACTTTTAATTTGGGTGATAAAATTTACCCGAAAAATAGTTTGTGTTACAATATAACTCACAACAGTCTTATATTGGACAGGTCAACGCCTTGTATTGGAAACTATTTCCTACAAAAGTCATAGAAAAAACGTTACTTTAATGTATGCGCACAAGCTTTCGGAGAACATTCCAATGCGGGAATTTCACGATTTTTAATCCTAGGTTTTTTGACTTCAACAATGCATCATATTTGTTATATATAATATTTTTTCATGATATAAGTGACATATAAGTCAAGCTAATAGAAAGGAATTCAACATATTAAACGACTTACACAATTACCTACGTGGTGAGAAGTGTTATATTAAAAAAGATCAATTATATTTTCATTACTGGAGGACCATGGAAAAAGCTTGCTGAATATGGCGCGATAAGTGATAGACGCATCTGTACGGTGAGCTAATAGGCAAAATAATTCTAATATTGAACAGCTTATAGCTTCAACGACTTACACAATTACCTACGTGGTGAGAAGTGTTATATTAAAAAGATCAATTATATTTTCATTACTGGAGGACCATGGAAAAAGCTTGCTGAATATGGCGCGATAAGTGATAGACGCATCTATACGGTGAGCTAATAGGCAAAATAATTCTAATATTGAACAGCTTATAGCGCAACTACCTAGGTGGTGAGAGGTGTTGGATTAAAACATATCAATTACAGTAATGGGGACTAGAATATAAAACTATTTTAACTTATTTTCATTACTGTAGGATTATGGAAAAAGCTTGCTGAATATGGCGCGATAAGTAATAGACGCATCTAGACGGTGAGCTAATAGGCAAAATAATTCTAATATTGAACAGCTCATAGCGCAACTACCTAGGTGGTGAGAGGCGTTGGATTAAAACATATCAATTACACTAATGGGGACTAGAATATAAAACTATTTTAACTTATTTCCATTACTGGAGGACCATGAAAAAAGCTTGCTGAATATGGCACGATAAGTGATAGACGCATCTAGACTGTGAGCTAATAGGCAAAATAATTCTAATATTGAACAGCTCATAGCGCAACTACCTAGGTGGTGAGAGGTGTTGGATTAAAACATATCAATTACACTAATGGGGACTAGAATATAAAACTATTTTAACTTATTTTCATTACTGTAGGATTATGCCCATGTAGCACAGATGGTTGGGCCAACGTTGGTAAATTGTGGAGCCACACAGTTGGCCAACGGTAGAAATGTCACCTCTTTAAACTGTTTTCCAGCCAACCTTTGTCCAACAATGGCCCAACCAAAATTATTTCACACAAAATAATAAAGATTTAGTACGAAAAGCATAATTATTAGTTGAGTAAATTGATTAAATAGTTCATAAAAACAAATTTTGAAAAAAAGCTGGAACAAAATTTTTTGGCCCAGACGGGTCTCGAACCCGGGTCCTTCGACTTATGAGCCTCTTACCTTACCACTGAGCTATCTGTGATTGTTGATACAGAGAGTTTTCAAGTGGTGAAACAGTAGCCGACAGTTGCAATGGTCGCAATACTTCAAACATTTTTGATACTACACAGTATAATATGATTCTGTTAATCTGTTAAGGCATCATAAGTAGTTATTTTTTTTTGGAGTTAGAGAGGATACTGGTATTTGAATATAGATTAATTAATTACCGTTAGATTATTAATGCTATTATAATTGACTGTTATATGATTAATTACTCTTTACCCTTAAATTGTTGCAAATAAGTTAAAGAATATTAATTTAAAAAATATTTGCATTATTATAATTATTAAAATTCATTGTTGTAGCCCCGGAACTGTAATATATAAAATATCTGGTTTTACAATACCTTTATCAGTTCCAAAAACTTTTGGAAACTTTTGGAACTGATAAAGGTATTGTAAAACCAGATATTTTATTATAATTATGTTGTGAAAGCTAGACCCAGAGAATGAAAGTTGTGTAAACTCAACTATGGACCATCGTTGGTCCAACAAAAGTATCTTTTGTTGGTCCAACGGAGTGAAAAACGGTTGGACAACGGTTGGCTTGATGTATGATACCCAACAATGCATATTAATGTATTTCATTAACAATGAACCGATGTTGGTCCACAGTTGTAAATATTGGTTGGCCCAACTACGAGATATACAGTTGGACAACGGTTGGTTGGTTGTGGAAGCTCCAACCAACCATCGACCAACTGTCCCACAGTTGGCCAACGTTGGCCCAACCATCTGTGCTACATGGGTGGAAAAAGCTTGCTGAATATGGCGCGATAAGTAATAGACGCATCTAGACGGTGAGCTAAAAGGCAAAATAATTCTAATATTGAATAGCTCATCATAGCGCAACTACCTAGGTGGTGAAAAGTGTTGGATTAAAACATATCAATTACAGTAATGGAGACTAGAATATAAAACTATATTAACTTATTTTCATTACTGTAGGATTATGGAAAAAAGCTTGCTGAATATGGCGCGATAAGTAATAGACGCATCTAGACGGTGAGCTAATAGGCAAAATAATTCTAATATTGAACAGCTCATAGCGCAACTACCTAGGTGGTGAGAGGCGTTGGATTAAAACATATCAATTACACTAATGGGGACTAGAATATAAAACTATTTTAACTTATTTCCATTACTGGAGGACCATGAAAAAAGCTTGCTGAATATGGCACGATAAGTGATAGACGCATCTAGACTGTGAGCTAATAGGCAAAATAATTCTAATATTGAACAGCTCATAGCGCAACTACCTAGGTGGTGAGAGGTGTTGGATTAAAACATATCAATTACACTAATGGGGACTAGAATATAAAACTATTTTAACTTATTTCCATTACTGGAGGACCATGGAAAAAGCTTGCTGAATATGGCGCGATAAGTGATAGTGAGACGGTGAGCCAATAGAATAAATAATTTTAATATTTAACAGGTTACACTGCAACTGTTAATACTGTTAAGTGGCGACCATACATAGTAGGATCACCCTACTATGTCACCCTACCTATGTGGTGAGAAGTATTACATTAAAACATATAAATTACTGTAATTTTGATTATATACACTGAACGATATCCCTGAAAACATAGTAGTACGAATTGTAGTACAGTATGTAACAAAATATAGATACTCCAACTATGCAACCGTGGTGAACAGGTTATTTTTTTGAGTCCGCACCGCACGAGTCGTGTAGTTGGCCATTTAAGTATGGAACAACTAGATTCGACAATAAACACAAACCTGGTTGTTAGTTGGCCTCTTGGGTGAGAGTCACTAGGTATCTGAATCATAAAATCAATTATAATTTTCACACAAGGGTATTTGTATTTTTCGTTTTTTTATAATTTTTTATATTTTACTTAAAAGCTATTGTTTGCTCAATCAAACCGCACACAGGATTCTGTTAGCCCATACTGGGAAGCTTTGCCTCCGTCGTTGATCTCATAAAAGCTAACTGCATACAATGCATACGCCATGCATGGAACAGCCCTACGGAGCAGGGCTTAGCCCTGCATACAGTGTGTGGCCTTAAAAACACCTAAAAAAAATATTAATTTAATGCTTCTGAATAAGTCAGTGCTATCGGTGGATAATCATGCAGAATGTGTTACAGATGATTCTTACAGGCATACTTCGGTTTTTCAGTAGATTTCTAAATTAATTTTTAGTATAAATACACAAGAACTGTTTTTAAACACAAAATCAATCTTATGAAAGTTGCTGTTGACCTTAACATGGGGATGGAATGTAAAGGTACAGGCTCCTCTAATTTCACCCCACGCTGCAAATAAAACATGTGATCGTAATTTCTTCCATTTGTTTTGATTTTATATTTATATTTCGTTGTTATTTCGTCACCAGCATGGCAACCCATAAAGCCCACGTTATTTTTTTTAATTTAAAATCCATTTTTTGTGCTTATATTTAAGCCTATTTTAATTTTTAAAGGGATTCTGCACTTCTAGAGGAAAATATATTTCCAACAGTATGCGTAGATTTTCCCTGCGACGCACACGAGCTGAGAAAAAAAGTTTTAAAGAAACATGTTAGCCTATTAAGAGTCTTCAATAGCAAAGTGGCCACTCAAACGCGACCTTGCAACCCAATTCTGGCGGCGCTCTGACAGAGCGCCGCCAGAATAGGTAGTTCCTACAGAGAATAGGTAGTTCTACAGAGCCTCTGTAGAACTACCTGAAAGCCTTTTCCGGTATTAGGCTGGTTTTATGCACCGCGACAGTCGCGCCACGTCTTGCGGCTGACCAAAATGTCACGTGACAGCGACACTTTTTTGTCGCGTAAACTCACATCCGGTGGTGGGGGAATTAAAGAAATCAGCCCGTTCTCAATCCAATGTGGTGTGTTGTGTTTGTGATGTAGAAGTGATTATTAAGTTGTTTGAATATAGACTCTGTAGTGTTGTACACGTTAATGACAAAATCCCAGTTATTTTAACAACACATACAATTTACAGTTGGAATTGGGTCAACCCTCTTAAAAATGTCATTACATAATAAAATGATGTAATTTATATTACAAATAAAGGGTAAAGAACTCATTTATATATTAGTTATTAACATTAATCAATAGAAATATATGGAGAATATACCACGTGGAGTATGAAAAATACTACTGTCGCGCCGCGACTGTCGCGGTGCATAAACGTGCCCATTTGATCCAATAGAACTTGAACCGCGCGCGACACATTTTTTGGG